CTTGCAGCACATTTGCAATCCCCCATAAGCCAGCATGGTGCCTCTAACCCCAGCACTGGGGAGTTAGAGGATCAGGCATTTAAAGTCATCCTCAGATACACAGGATGTTCCAGGCCAGTAGTCCATGGGACAGCGGAGGAATTTGCAGAATTCATGCGGTTTGCAGGCTCTTTTCTCTGTCATTATATTGGTGATTCTTTGGGAGGTTTTTCATTTTATTTTGTCAGTCACACATACAACAGCTAAAATTTCCCCCTGGAAATTCTGTTCCCTTTCAAATATTTTCCCCTAAGCTTCAACAGGAGGGCTAATGGTTCTCAAATATCTTATCTGGAATTACCATCTACAACTCCCAATCCTGGGAACTTTTCTGACACGGTAGAGACAGCTAGACACATATGAGAAAACAACACTTGGAACATTAGCCATGTCTCACAGTTCTGGAAAGGAGAGCAGAGCATGCATACACAGAATAGGGAAAAGGCCTCAAGAATACACATAGTGCCAACGGTTTAGAGTAAGTTCCCTGGATGCCAAACATAGAATCAATGATAGGATCTGGTATGATCCAATGAGAAAAATGTAATGTAAAATATGGTATGGAAAGATCCACCTTACCATACACAGGAGATTATATTGGTAAAAGAAGTATGGTATAGTGGGATGAGAAAAGAATGTCTTATCAAAGTCTGCCTTTTTGTTGTTGTTGTTGTTGTTTTGAGACAGGGTTTCTCTGTGTAGCTTTGGAGCCTATCCTGGCACTGGCTCTGAAGACCAGGCTGGCCTTGAATTCACAGAGATCTGCCCGTCTCTGCCTCCTGAGTGCTGGGATTAATGGCTTGCACCACCAATGCCCGGCTAAAGTCTGCCTTTTACAGAGAGATTGAGACCTGGGATCCTCTTATAGAAAAGGGAACTGTGAAAAACATATCCTGCAGACCTGAAAGAATTGTCTGGGTTTGAAATTGTTGTCCTTAAAGCATTGTGCCCATGTCTATTCTTTTTTAACTTTGTAACCACAAGTGGCTGCCAGCTGACATATGCTCCCAGAACAGGATGTGTCTGGCTCGATATTTAGTTAAGCCTGTAAAAATGCTGAACTCTATGTCTAGAATAAGGTTATATGGGGAGGGGGTGTATGTGGGGAAGCATAAAAGGGAACAGTGGGGCTTTCATAATGATGACAATGTATTCCTTAAAATGTGATGCATTTCTTAAAAATCAAAAGTAGGAGCCAATAATAAAGCTGTATGTGTGACCCTGGTAAGCAAAACTCTGCTTAAGTATAGATAAAGATGGCTTGAGCTACTCAGGACCACTTGAGTGCAATCCATTTGGTGCTCAGAAGTTTTCCTTGCTCTGATGCCCCTTCCCTGGCTCAGGGCCTGAACCTGACCTGAGACTGGACCCCAGCAAAGGATATCCTTGGCTACATAGCTAGTTCAAAGCCAGCCTAGGCTAGACGAGGCCATATCTCAAAGAGAAATAAAAGATGGGAGAAAGAGACGAGGAAGGAACAGGAGACATTTAGAGCCAGGTGTGGAGTGCATGGCCGTACTTCTAGATGGAATGCAAGAGGACTGAGAATCCGGGGTCTGCCTGCGCTACAGAGCGAGACCTTGTCTCTAAGAGAAAGAGACAAAGCAAACCTTCCCATCTTGGGAGACGCTGCAGCTATGTGGGGCAGGGAGACAGGAGGAAACTTCCATTATCACACAGCAAAAGCTTTTCTCTGTCCTCTCCAAATCCATTAACAAAGAGGGGAGCCATTTTCAAACCCCAAGTCACCTGGTTACTAATCGGATTCTTTCCCACAAGTGGATATTTTTAAAAAAATACCCTTCCCTGATAATGAAATTGATGACTGCCTTATACGCCATCCTAGAGCCTTCATCCAGTAGCTGATGGAAGCAGAAGCAGATACCCACAGCTAAGTACTGAGCTGAATTCCTGGAATCCATTTGTAGAGAGGGAGGAGTGATAAGCAAAGGGGTCAAGACCAGGCAGGAGAAACCCACAGAATACAGCTGACCTGAACAAGGGGTTGCTCATGCACACCAGACTGACATCTGGGAAACCAGCATAGGACCGAACCAGGCCCCCTGAACGTGGGTGTCAGTTAGGAGGCCTGGGAAATCTATGGGGTTTCTGGTAGTGGAACAGTATTTATCCCTAGTGTACCAATGGACTTGGGGAGCCCATTCCTCATAGAGGGATACTCTCTCAGCCTAGACACATGGGGGAGGGCCTAGGCCCTGACCCAAATGATGTGACAGACTTTGATGATCCTCCATGGAAGGCCTCACCCTCCTTGGGGAACAGAAGGGGGATGGGATGGGGGTCCCGTGGGGGGCATGGGAGGATGGGAGGGAGAGGGAACTGGGATTGATATGTAAAATGAGACTGTTTGTAATTTAAATAAAAAATGAAAAACAAGGAGAAAAAATGCTTGCTAAATCATCTTAGGCTTTATTTGTTCCATCTACTTAAAGCTTACATAAACTCCTTGGGGATTTGGGTCAAACTGTTAAGTTGGAAAATACATGAAAAATAGGACTTTCAATGGGGCAGCTTTTCTCTTAGATGGGTTTTGCATACACCATGGTGGTGAGGGGTGGTTATTAGGAGCACAGAGGGGAAGAAGGAGGTGAGAGAGAGAAGAGGTGAGAAAGGGGAGAAGCCTGGGTCATTTTCTCCTTTTGCCATCATGGCTACTCTCGTTAAACAGCTACCGCCCTCTAGTGCTTGCTGAATAGATTGCATATGAAGTCCAAAGTTTGCTTGCCTGTGGTGTGTGTGTGTGTGTGTGTGTGTGTGTGTGTGTGTGTGTGCGCGTGCCTGACTGTATATGCACTTGAATGTAGGTACCTGCAGAGATCAGAAGGGGAAGGGTGTTCAGTCGCGTGGAACTGGAGTTACAGATGGTTGTGAGCTGCCTTGTAGGTACTGGCAACTGAACTCCAGGCCTCTGAAAGAGCAGCTAGTGCTCTTAACTTCGGAGTCATGTTTCAGCCTCCCGAAACCTGTTTTTATCTTTAAAACCATGTTTAAGGATTAGGAAACATAGCTCAGTCAGGAAAGTGCTGCTATGCAAGTTTGAGGACCTAAGTTCAGATCCCAGCAGCCACTTAAAAAAGTAGGATGCCGATAGCCCTCATCCAGCAGCTGGTGGAAGTAGAAGCAGACACCAACAACTAATCACTGAACTGAACTGGAATCCAGATGCAGAGAAGGACAAGTGATGAGCAAAGGGGTCCAGACCAGGCTGGTGAAACCCACAGAAACAGCTGACCTGAACATCGGGAACTCTTGCTCCCCACACTGATAGCTGGGATACCAGCATGGGACTGATGCAGACCCCAGGAACATGGGTTTCAGTGAGGAAACCTCGGAAATCTACGGGACCTCCTGTAATAGTTCAGTACTTATCCCTAGCATAGGTGTGGAGTTTGGGAGCCCATTCCACATAGAGGGATACTCCCTGAGCCAAGACACACGGGGGTGGACCTAGGCCCTATCCCAAAGGATACGATAGACTCTGACGACACCCTATGGAAGGCCTCACCCTCCAGGGGGATCAGAAAGGGTATGGGATAGGTTGGGTTTTAGTTGGGGAGGGGTGGTAGGGGAGGAGGGGAGGGAGAGGGAACTGGGATTGACATATAAAACAATCTTGTTTCTAATTCAAATAAAAAAAAATCTGCAAAAAAAAAAAAAAAAAGGGTGCAATGGTGCATGTCCGTAATCCTAGCACTGGGGATCTGAGACAGGAGGATTCCGAGCTCTCTGGCCAGTTAGTCTTGCCAAATGGTAAGCTCTGTATTCAGTGAGACTTTGAATTTAAAAAAAAAGTGTGGAAATGATAGAGGTAGTTAATCTTGGTTGTCAACTTGGGACACCTAAGAAACAACAAACCTCAGTTGAAGAACGTCTTCCATCATAGTGACCTCTGGACATGTCTAATTGAAGTAGGTAGGCCCAGCCCACTGTTGCAGTACATTCCCTAGACAGATGGGCCTGGGCTGTGTAAGAAAGGGAGCAAGCCAGTAAGCAGGGTTCCTCATGGTTTCTGCTTCAGTTCCTGTGTTAGTTGGTTTCCTGCTTTCCCTCACTGACGAATTTCCACCCAGAAGTGTAAGCCAAATAAACTCTTTCCTAAGTAGCTTTGTTCATGGTGTTTATCCCAGGAACTGGGGTCAAACTAGATGACCACCCAGCACCGGACTTTGGACCCTACATTCCTGTACATGTGCACACACAAATGTGTCCAAACCTATCTATATCTGGAAGGGTCTAACATTCTTTTGTTGTCGGTAAGCATACTGAAATTCAGATATGAGGTGTCCACCTGACCTAAATGTCCTTCTACACTCTTGGTTACCCTACCCCACTTATCTGGCAAACTCTCTTCCTTATCAGCATTTCCCAGAAATTTCAGGACTTCAGCAATAAAAAGTATAGCACATTAATCAAAATGCTATATATTACTTCCAATATCATCCCCGCTAAACCTGTAATTGATAGTCATAAATAAAATCAGTAATTTTAAAACTTGATACAATTTTAGAAAATGTTAACACTTTAAAAGTTAGGTCAAATCCCAAATGGGTTTGTTTGGCCGTGTGTTAGAACTAATTTACATGCCAAGCATGGGGCACATACTTGTGATCCCAGCACTTGGAAGGTGGAGGCAGGAGGATCAGTAATTCAAGATCATCCCTGGCTCCATAGAGAGTTTGAGGCCAGTCTAGGCTACATGAAACATTGTCTTAAACAAATAAATAACAAAAACTAACTTATCATTGTCTCCATGGTGGATTAATACTCTGCTAAAATTCTCCCAAAGGAACTTCTTTGGTCATTGATGGGAAAAGAGAGGTTGTCATTTTTTAACATGGAATATATTTTCATCATTTCACCACTTCGCTGGTGGGAAGGAATTGAAAGCTATCCAGCTGGCCATGCCACTTAGAACAATACTGAGTAACAAGAGATTTATTCAAATATTTAATTGGAGGGAAACACATCTGGAATGAGTTTTATTGGAATCCATATAAAAAAGAAAAGAGAATCCATTAGAACTAGTATCAAACAGTTGCCATTGTCTGGAATGAGAAATAGTAATGACTTATGTTTAGGTACAGGTTTCTACTTTATACTCAAGTATACTTAATATTATAGCTCAGAATCATTTTCAGCTACTATTTTACAGACAGGTCGTTCAAATAACTTAGTTTCTTTTATCCCCCTCTTCGTCTGAAAAACAAAAAACCAAAAAGTCAGACAAACAGAAAGTGGTTGGGCTGGGGATGTGGCCCAGCAGTAGAGTGCTTGCCTAGCATGCAGAAGGCCCTGAATTTGACCTCTAGTGCTGCAAAAGAATTTAAAATTGTTTTTAAATTAAAAATCCAGACATGGTAGTGAAAACCTGTAACCTCTGAACTGGAGCTGGGAGGCAGAGGCAGGAGGAACAGGAGTTCAAGACCAGCCTGAGCTACCTGAGCCTGTCTCAAAAAGGAAACAAAGGAGAAGAAAAGTAGCAGAAGAGTCCTTCAAGATATAGTTCTTACTGAGATGGGCTGGGCAGGAGGAACACAGGTGCATTTGGCAATGAGTAATTGCATGAACTAAGAGATTCCCAATTTGTCTTTAAATGTCAACGTAGATCCCATTGATCAGGTAGTCAAGTCTTGAATACCGTTTCCTACGGAGTGATTCTGCCAGCATCCTACCCAAGAGGACGAGGCCTATTACCAGGAACAGAACACCAAAGAGGAGGGTCCCAATGAGAAGCCACTTCTCAAATGAAAGGCCATGCTGGATTTTTGGAACCCTATTCAATGATGCACTGCCTACACTGACCCTCCCATTCTCCAAGGAAGCAGCAGTCTTGCTTGTAACAGAAGACTCTGGGGTTGACAAAGAAAGAGCCACAGAGCTCTTCCCATTGCCCATGTCTGAGGTTAGCTCAGAGCCTGCGTGAAAGGGCGTTGTTTCTAAGATGCCTTTCGAGTCCATACGTGCCGGAGAGACAGAGGTCAGAGCTGCCTGGTGTGTAACTCCTTGTGTAACACTTGGAGACCTGTAGCCTGCAGGAGGCTTCCAGGTCACCATGGTTACAGGTGGAGAAGGTGTGGTGGCCACCTTCTGCTGTAAGGTCACGGGTGTCACTGAAGCACTGGCCAACAGAAGTGCAGGCTTCAGAGTGGCAGGGACATTATGGAGAGAAGTAACAGCCACGGTGGTAGACGGGGTGGTGGCGTTTTTAGGGAGCAGATGAGCCATTTTTAGTTCTGAGGATAGCTGCAAACTCTGAGAATGGCCCTTTTCTTTATAAACAGCGAGCTGTGTGCTTGCTTCATCAATCTGGATAGGTTTCTGTGAGTGAGCTGAGGTGGTGGTCCTCTGAGAAGACACATCTCTCCAAATCAGGCTGGTAGGCTTTGGGTAACCTGTGGGAGGAGGGGCCCGGAGAGAGACAGCTGGCAAGGTATGGCCAAGTAATGGAGAGTCTTCTTGTGTTAACTTTTGGAGTGGTGAAGTAGCTCTGGCCAATGGAAAATCTGAAGGTATAAAGAAAACAAAAAGGAGAGTTAATAGGCCCACAGTAAGATATATTATTTATGTTTTTTATTAAAGCTTGCCTGAGGATTCAGAAAGCAAAGTCAGCCACAAGCCATAGAAGCCAGGCACACACCTTTAATCCCAGCAGCCAGAAACTAGAGGGTGGTGGTGCACACCTTTAATCCTAGGACTCGGGATTAAGAGAGAGATGGATCTCTATGAGTCCAAGGCCACCCAGATCTACACAAGATTGAGTCAGTCTAAAAGAGAATTATATATAGTTCACACCTTTAATCCCAGGACTCATGAGAGGTATATAAGACAGGAGCAAGGACTCAGTATCAGGCATTCATTCTCCAGCCACACTGAGGAGAGGCAGCAGTTTGAGTCTTGGTGAAGAGCTTGTGGGTGGAGCAACCCTTTCAGCCTAAGCTAGAGGTAAGAGCTAGTGGCCAGCTGCTTTGCTTCCCTGATCTTCAGCTTGAACCCAATATCTGCCACTGGATCTTTTATTAATTCATGTTACATATATGTAAAATACAAATGTTTACCATGTCCCCAAATGGTTGGTACTCGATACCTGGCTGGTCAGTTGTCTTTTGTTGTTGTCGCTGTTTTGTTGACTTACAGAAACCAGAGTCATATGGGTAGAGGGAACCACAACTGAGAAAATGCCTCCATCAGATTGGTCTGTAGGCTAGTCTGTCAAGGCATTTTCTTGGTTAATGACTGGTGTGGGCAGGCCTGGCCCACTGTGGGTGGTGCCATTCCTGGGCTGGTGGTCCTAGGTTGTATAAGAAAGCAGACTGAGCCAGAGTGGAAAGCAAGCCAATGAGCGGCATTCTCCATGTCCTGTGCTTTTCCCTCAGTGGTGAACTGTGATCAGGATGTAGAAGCCAAATAAAACCTTTCCTCCCCAAATGGCTTTTGGTCAGTGTTTTATCACAGCAATAGAAAGCAAAGACTGACTGATGGAGCACGGCTAGCTCAGTCGGCAAAGCATGAAACTCTTAATCTCAGGGTCATGTGTTCGTGCCCCCACGTGATCACCAATATGCAACACAAGTTCTAATTGGTCTTAATAATGAAAGCCTGGAGTTACATATAGGGGAAAATGTGGAGAGATCAGAGAGACAAAGGAGCAAAGCCACAGTAAGGTTACCCACTCAACTTCCCAGCCAAAGAAGAGACTGAGCTCCTGTCTCCTCCCCTTTATAACTTCCTCTCTCCGCCCAGCCATATCACTCCCTGTCTGTCGGTACAGACCTCCAGACCTCTATGGTTAACTAGCGGCTAGCTCTGCCCTCTGATCTTCAGGCAAGTTTTATTTGTTAGAGTATAAACAAGATACCACTACAGACTGACAACTTATTTCTCTCTCTCAGAGAGAGAGAGAGAGAGAGAGAGAGAGAGAGAGAGAGAGGAGAGAGAGAGAGAGAGAGAGCATGTGCACTTGTGCACACATGCTGGAAATGAACACAGGGTCATCCTGTTACACATTAAGCATGCACTGTGGCACCGGGCTACACCCCAGCCTCAGATACTTGATACCTCATCAAAGCATGTATACAACAGAAAGACACAAATTACAAATGACCACAACAGTGTCTCTCTACATCATGGTGCGGTTTATTTCTAGCTCGGTGGGACAGAAGAGAGGAGAAAGTGGGGGTGCACAGGCTGACTGACAAATAAGTGGGAGTAGCGACGAGGCCGAGAGAAGCACCCCATGAAGTCTTAGGTTTAGGGAGCTAAAGATGGCTGAGGGTAGAGGCGGGACAGGGAGGGCCAGGATGGGGCCTAAGCAGGATGGGGACTGGCAGGAGACAAGCATTCCTGAAGACACATCAACTGCCCATGAGACGGCCAGTCATGCGGACAGATGTCCCAGCCTGGGCGTGGGATGGGTGAGAAAGAGCCATAGAAGCCTTGGGAAAATGAGGAGTCAGGGGAAGCAGAATCCTGATAACAGGTCTTAAACAGTGACCAGGGTTTGACAGAAAGGTCGAGGAGAGGGCTTGGAGGGTCTGGACTCCTTGAAGGACACTGAGTCAAAGAAATACCACAAGGCAAATAACATTTTCCAAGTAAAGTCAGGGGTGGGTGGTTCTGGAGTGTTACCAGAAGAGGGAGGCTATCCAGGAGACTTGATTCTGACTCTCAAAGCTTGGAAGTATAGAGTGAATGCCTTACGTTGTGAGTATGATGTTTAGAATCATAATGCCCACACTGGATAGGAAGAGTTCGACTATTCAGACCAACTCCTAAGGTGGGGATTTGACTGCCAGAGAACGCTCATGGTTTTGCTCTGAGCCACACAGCTATTCATCACAGTCCAAACAGAAAGGCTTGGTAAGGCAATCACATGCAATGAGGGATAAGTCTGATTGTTCAGTATGGACTCTGCTACTTTTGATTAGAACTGCAGATCTGGGCTGGGAATGTAGCTCAGTCAGTAAGGCACTTGCCCAGCATGTGTGAAGCCCTGGGCTCTGCCCACAGCATCCCCTGAGCTGGGCACCGTGGAACACATGTATAATCCCAGCATCCAGGAGGCGAAAGCAGGAGAATCCTATGTTCAAGGCCATTCTCCGCTGCTCCATAGAGAGGTCTAGGCCACTGGGGTTACATGAGACTCTGTCCCAAACGCTACAGAGAACCAGGACAGAGAAAACGAGACAGGAAAAACTGCAGGAAACACAGGAGGTGGTAGCTTCCCTCTCCCGTTCTTTTTCACGGCACCGCCATGTTGGTCTCCCAAGTAGAGCTGTCACCTCTCCTAACAGAGGCAACTCCAGAGGGATGATGGCTTGGGAGTGCTTGATAATCCTTACCTTTCCACGGTTCTTTATCATTTATTTCAGTTTTTAAATTATATTTTAAATTTTTATTTGTGGGAGGGGGGCACGTGCCCTTGCATGTGTGTGTGGAGGTCAGAGGACAACTTGTAGAAGCCTGTTTTCTCCTATCACGTCAGTCCCGGGGATCAGACTCAGGTCATCATGCCCGGCACCAAATGCCTTTACCTACTGAGCCATCGTGCTGGCCCCATTTCATTTCTTCTGTGAGAGTCTCATGTAGAGTAGGCTCTTCTTGAATCTGATACACAGTCAAGGCTCATCTTGAACTCCCGATCCCCCTGCCCCCACCCTGCTGGAATTATAGGCGTGTGTCACCCCTCCAGACTACATAAGCCTTTAAAACCACCACTTGATTCATCTAGGACAAGGTTTAGCAAGAATGGCCAAATCCTGCCTGTCACCTACCTTTCTGTGGTTTGCAAGCTGTGGATGAAGTTTACATTTTTAAATGGCTGAAACAACCAAAACAAATGTTTGACATGTGGAAACCACACACTATTTGAATTTTAGTGTTCTGCAACCAAGTTTAACTGGTGTCTAGATTAGAATGTTCGTTTATTTGCATATCCCCTGTGGCAGATTTTATACTAGAATGTCAATGGTGAACAGATACAGCTGGTTGCATGTGGCCAAAGTTCCTCAGACACAGTCCTGAAAACCTAAATACTATTAGACAGTAGACAGAAAATCTGCCGGCACACACTCTGGGCTACTGAGCTCTGCTCTGAAATAGAAGTAGGAGCTGGGTGTGGTGGTGATGCCCATAATCCCAGCACTCAGGAACTAGAAGGGTCAAGAGTTTACAGTCATCCTCAGCTACATAGTGAGTTCAAGGCCAGCCTGGCTTACATGAGACTCTGTCTCAAAACACTTCACCTCTGATCACCCCCCAAAATCAGGGAGCTTGAGCTTCTTTCTGCCTCTGTCAGTGCAGGCAGCAGCTCTCTCTCTCTCTCTCTCTCTCTCTCTCTCTCTCTCTCTCTGTAATACTTCTCTCTTTCAGCCTCTCTCTGTATCTGTCACTATCTCTCTCTGTCTCTCTTTAAGTTTCATCCTTGTTTATTTTTTAATATATTACTACAGGTGATGTCACCATCCGTATTGTTAGGTATTCAATAAAAATGATTACTCAGGGGTTGGCAATATAATTTATAACATGCATGAGGCCCCAAAGGTATATCCTCATGATCACACACACACACACACACACACACACACACACACACACACACACACACACACCTCGGCATGTTTCATTTTAAAGTTAAAAGAAAAAGTCAGTTAGATGGTTCAATTGGGATGCCAAACCTGAAAAGCCTGAGTTCAGTCAGTTCTCTAGACCTATGTGGCAGGAGAGAACCAACTCTTACAAGTTGTCCTCTGACCTCCACACTACCAACATGGTGAGCACAGCTACACACACACACACAACACTATATTAAAAAATTTAAATAATATCCTAAAGTAAAAAGAGAGCAAGGGGGAGAGAGAAAAAAACAAACCAAGACTATTTAGCTAAGTGACCTGCTGTCTATATGATATTAGAAGTTAAATATGTCCATTGACAAGCATGACCAAAACAGCTGTTGATTTCTCAAGTGTATGTGCTCAACTATAATGAAAAGCCAGCACTGGTCCCATCTGATAAGATGCATGTGTTGGCAGAGAGCCTAGAACCACACAGAATCCTCCACACCTGTTCCTCTCACCTAGGCCACTGTTGTTTGCACTGGGAGGTGCTTCTCTTTGTGGACATAAGTCACCGGAGCCGGGAAACAGCCCTGAGCCTTCAACTCTTCTTTGAGTTTCATTTTTCAAGAGATTTCACTGAGTAAAAAAAAAAAAAAAAAAAAAAAAAAAGGGACTATTTCCTGGAAACCGGCTAAGCAAACAGACTTCCAATTTATTGGGTTTATGAATCCAAGCATTCTTACAGTGCTTGGTAGAAAAGATGTGTTACTAAACTGTTAAAGACAGGTTGATGCTAAGCCGCAGTGTTCTTGTAGACTGAGCAGAGTCCACTGTCATCTTTCAAAGTGTCAGTCTGTAAATATTAGTCAGTTGGTCGCAGGAAATAAAAATTCCTTCAGAAACAAACCACCAAACAGATATTTACATTTCATTTCACTTCAAACAGGATAATTTGTGATCAGTGGAATAACTCAACCCATAAACACGGGTGTATTTATAAACAGAATTAAGAACATAACTTGTATACATCCTGTACAAGTAAACAGTCCTCCACATGGGTCCAGGGTCTGGTGTCACTGCCGGGAAATGGCCTTCCACCTGCTCTGTGCTCATGATGCCCCCTGGTGGCTACCACCAGAACAGCTTGATTCCAGTCCCTCCACCTTTGAACCCTCCTATCCAGGCCCACTTTCCTTTCCTCTTGTCTTCATTGGCCAGCATCTTTATCTTGTATCTCTTTTTTTACACATTATAAACGCAATGACTCTACAGAAGCATTATGAGAATTAGAAGACTTAACCTTCAACTGTAACTTATGACACCATAGCAGATCATTAAAATAATCTGTGACTTTTGTAACTGTTTAAGGAAATGTTTGCACATTGGGTTTCCCTGGTTCTGGAACAAACTTCAGGTAAATCCCCGCTCAGGAAATGAAGCAGTCAGCACGGTGTACCCCAAGTGGTTCATGCTGCAAAGCACTTAACAGGCCTCATTCTACTCTACCTCCTGACTTTAAAACTGCTCTCCTCAAAATCCCCCAGTTCACAAACGGTGGCCCCACCCACCATGTTCAATGCAAAAACTAGGACTGAGCCTTCTTGTGTCCATTTCCTTGACCTCCAGCAAGTCCTACCAACCTTATCTCTCTCCAACTCTGTCACCATCTCCCTGGACCACTTCGGCCTAAATCTCACTTCCCATCAACAAGTCTTTCCATTCCCCCTTTCCTGTGACCTCAAGCTAAGTTCCCCAAAAAGTCAGCAGTGAGCTTTGAGAAGTCCCCCTAAAGACACCATGAATGCACACAGCCATAGTCCCAGCACTCTGGAGACAGAAGTAGAGAGACCTCTGTGAGTTAAAAGCCAGGCTAGTCTACACAGCAAGTTTCAGGCCAGCCAACACTAAATCAGGAGGAGACCCTGTCTTACAAAACAACAGCAACAACAAAAACAAACAAACAAACAAAGCAGGGGCTGAAGAGATGGCTTAACAATTAAAAGCACTGGCTGTTCTTCCAGAGGACCTGGGTTCAATCCCCAGCACCCCCATGGCAGCTCACAACTACCTGTAACTCTACTTTCAGGGGATCGGACACCCTCGGACAGACAGACGTTCAGGCAAAATACCAATGCACATAAAATAAAAATCTTCAAAAAGTACAAAAACAAAAGCAAAACAAATTATTTGAGCAAACAAGATGGCTCAGAGGGTGGAGGCGCTTCCTGCCTAAGCCTGACAACAGAGGCTGGCAACCTGAGAGCTGAGTAAGATAACCCTGAATGCACACAAAGGTGGGAGGAGAAACCCTAGTCTACAAGGCCTCTCTCTGAGCTCCGCAAATGCCGTGTCATGTGCACACATACATACATGCACACACACAATAATAGTCATTTTTTAAAAAGACACCACAAGCTGGGCGGTGGTGGCACACGCCTTTAGTCCCAGCACTCGGGAGGCAGAGGCAGGCGGATCTCTGTGAGTTTGAGACCAGCCTGGTCTACAAGAGCTAGTTCCGGGACAGCCTCCAAAGCCACAGAGAAACCCTGTCTCAAACCCCCACCTCCAAAAAAGACTGCATGGAACATGTCTATTTAACTTCCCACAGCTTCTCCTTGAACACCCAGAGTGAAGCCTGCCTCCTCTGGATGGCAAATACACAGTCATCTGGGCTTCCTGCTTCTCCCCGCCCCCTGCCCCCATACTCTGCACAGCTGACTATGCTTCCAGGGGTTTCGAATGAGTGATTGGCCTTCAAACATTCCAAAGCCATTCTGCCTAAGGATCATCATCGTCTTGGGGGAATCGTCCCCAGCCTCTCATATCTGGTCCCTGCTTTTCAGATCTCAGGTCTCACCTAACTTAGGGAGCTCCCTTGGTGATTATTCTGTTGGGTAATCTCAACCCTGCACATCATCTGTGACTCCTCTACAGGGTAACCTCAGCCCTGTACAGCATGTGTGACCCCTCTACAGGGTAACCTCAGCCCTGCACGGCATTAGTGACCCCTCTACAGGGTAACCTCAGCCCTACATGGCATTTGTGACTCCTCTACAGGGTAACCTCAGCCCTGCATGGCATTTGTGACTCCTCTACAGGGTAACCTCAGCCCTGCATGGCATTAGTGACCCCTCTACAGGGTAACCTCAACCCTGCACAGCATGTGTGACTCCTCTACAGGGTAACCTCAGCCCTGCATGGCATTAGTGACCCCTCTACAGGGTAACCTCAGCCCTGCATGGCATTAGTGACCCCTCTACTCTCTTCTAAAGCATACGTTATGGTTATTATCTCCGTCTCCCAAAAGTCAGTTTCAGAAATCAGAACTGTGGTTTTCACGTTCAGTGCTTCATCCCTGTAGTAGAAAAAGTGTGCCGATGCATAAGAAATGCTAAATAACATTTGTTATTTATTTAATATATGGAAAATAGAACATTAACAACCAACAGTTCTCTTGTAGGCTAGCCTGGGCTACATAGGAGACTTTGTCTTTTTTTTTTTTAAAGGAAAGGTTTCCTAACAGACCTATGAACTTTTAATAATAAGAAGGTAAAACAAAATAGAAAAAATACTGCCAGATGCTATTTTAGGAAAATACATTTTGTTTAATGAACTTCAAATCATGAAATATTTATGAACTCTTAGGCTCTTACAGGAAATCTTCCACAGAAACTGAAGCTTTAAATAATTCAGTCACAAAAGAAAGTGGACAATGCCTTCATTACCTCTGATGAGCCTGTAGCTCATAAGTCCCTTTGCTGGCTTCAGTGGACAAGCTTCCTCACTGGGACAGAAAAACAGGTAGCAGTTGGGCTGTCCAGCTGTCTTCCGGGTGTCGAAGATCATCAGGTTGCAGGATTTGTCCCCTGCAATGAGAGACTTGCAAGCATGATTTCCAAATAGAATGTTCTAGAGTAGCACAAGCTGGAGGAGCTTCACCCAGAGTACTCTGTTCACTCTTCTGACCCCTCAGGTCATATCCCTTTTCTTTCTTTCTTTTTTTTTAAAAGATTTATTTATTGTGTATACAACATTCTGCCTTCATGTATTCCAGCATGCCAGAAGAGGGCACCAGATCTCATTAGAGAAGGTTGTGAGCCACAATGTGGTTGCTGGGAATTAAACTCAGGACCTCTGGAAGAGTAGCCAGTGCTCTTAACCACTGAGCATCTCTCCAGCCCCCATGTCCTTTTTGTTAGTTTAGTGATAGAAAGCCACCTCAAAAGACATTGATTTGGTTTATAAACCTAAATTATGGTAATTTTGGAGAAACCATTTTTTTCTATTTAAAATTTTATTATCATCTATTTGTGTGTGAGTGTGTATTGCCTGCACACATGTCTGTGTACCATGTGTATACAGTGCTTGCAGAAGCCAGAAGAGGGCATCAGCTCTTCTAGACTGGAGTTACAGGTGGTTGTGAGCATCATGTGGGTATTGGGATTCAAACCTGGACCGTTTGGAAGAGCAGCCAGTGCTCTGAATCACTGAGCCATCTCTTCATCTCCCTAAACAAAAGTTTTTAGAAGCACATTTAGCTAGCGTTCTCCCTACCCCTGACCCCCGATTTTATTCTATCTTTCATTTGTTAAAATAGCTTTTAGGGACTAGAATGATGGTTTGCATCCCAGCACCGTCTTGACACAGTCATCTGGAACTCCAGTTCTAGGGGATCCGATGTACTCTTCTGGCCAAGCACACACATGGTAAACAAACATATATGCGGTCAGAACACATATACACATAAAATAAAAGTAAATCTGAAAAAACAACCCCCCCTCCTAGAACCTATGGATGAGCTGGTGTGGTAGTAGTGGCGTATAATGTCAGGCTGGAGGAGCAGGAGTTCAAGGCCATCCTCATGCAGCTACATAACGAGTTTGAGGTCAGTCTATAAAAGATCCTATCTCAAAATGCCAAACTCTGTAGATGGGAAAGACTTATCCCTCACCAGGATTCTACTGCTTCTTCCCTCCAACGCTCACTCAACCTGAGGCAGCCCTGCTTTTCCTTTTCCAACAATGTGATGCCTGCACTAGCGTTTGTAAAGGTCAATATCACTGTTTGCGATGCACCTAGGAGTTATCGAAGCACATTCCTGGGTGTGTTCTGAGCCTCGTTCCAGAGAGGATTAACTTAGAGGGGAAGCTTGACTGTGGGTACATTGTCCCTTAGACTGGGAACCTGGATAAGGCAGAATAAAATCGAGGGTGAGGGGTGGGGAGAATGCTAGCTGGGCAGGCGGCACAGGTAGGTAATCTTAGTACTGAGGAGGCCAAGACAGGAGTGTCAGGAGTTCAAGGTCATCCATGGCTACACAATAAGGTTAAGGCTAGCCTGAGCTACATAACACCCTGCCGAACACAAAAGCTGGGCATAGCTGTACATCCTGTAATCCCAGTACTCAGGAGGCACAGGCAGCAGGATCATCCCAAATTTAAGGGCAGTCTAGTCTATATAGAGAAGCACTGTCTCAAAAACAAACCAACAAAACAATTCATGTGAAATACAAATATTGTCTGTGACTGAATGCTGGATGTGTGGGTGTTACATGGCAACATAGAAAAACCAGACATTTGTCCTTAATTCCAAGAAGTGAGGGTTTCCTGCCTTATTTCACAGTGGAAATACTCATACAGTTTTGCCACCCATGGATCTTAGGTCACAGATTTTTTTTTCTCTGTGTTGTTTTACATTTGTTTGTTTGTCGGTTTGTTTTTATTCATCTATTTATTTTACATCCCAGCTGCAGCCTCCCCCCAATCCTCCCTTCCCAGTCCCTCTCCCCACCCCTCCCCAATCCCATCGGCTTCCATCTCCATCCAGGCAGGAAAGGTCAGTATCAATAAAACACGGCATATCAAGCTGTAGTAAGATTAAGCACCTTCCCATATATGAAGGCTGGGTAAGGCAACCCGATATGAGAAGTAGGGTCCCAAAAGCCAGCACAAAAGTCAGAGACAGTCCTTGTTCCCACTGTTAGGAGTCCCATAAGAGAACCAAGCTACGCAACTGTAACATGCAGGCTCCCTGGTTGTTGGTTCAGGCCCTGGGAGCCCCTGGGAGCCCAGGCTAGTTGACTGTGGGAGCCTTCCCTTTGTGTCCTCTCCCCTCGTTTACTCAGCAGCTAAGATAAAGAGCGCAGTTAAAGCACTTTGGCAATCTGATGATAGTCTTGGACTGTAGCAAGATGAACAGCAACACAGGGGACACAAAACTTTGCCCGTGATTTGGTTTTTTTCTGGATCTACCACTTTATCTATGAGCCCATTACCATGACAAAATAACTGATGTAAAATGCGGGAGAATGTGCTTGAGCCCTTGGGGCCAGAGGCATCAGTGTTGTCACATCCGGGGTGGTATGGAACTCATGATCCTCTGAATACTGGGGTTGCAGGTGTGCACCACCAAGCCCACCTCTATTTCCATAAACATTTATGGAAACATTTGGAAGATCAGAGCTTTAACCCCTGAGCTACTGACGCCTCCACATCAACATTTATATGTTTTAAAAGGGTGGGAATTTAAGTCAAATCACTATACTTTCTATAAACCACAGTACCAGACAGCACACTGCTCAAATTGAGGTCATCAAAGGGCTATTTCCTCCAGGTATCTAGTATAGGGTCTCTTTCCACACCGTCTCTCCAAACCCCTGCCAATAACTGGGCATCCTGCAGTTCAACCCATTCCTAATCTAGCCAGCTGGGTTAGCGCCGGACTCCATAGGCTTCCGGGTTCTTTCTTGCAAGCCTGCTGTCCTCTCAGAAGCCCGTGGCAAGTGCCAGGTCTCAGGTTACTGAACTTGGTGACTTGACTACAAATTCAGACTTGACTACAACCCTGCCCCTCCCACCCCCACTCCCGCCGTTTGATAATTTGCAAGTCTGACTCACAGAACTCAAAGAACAGTTATAGTTTAAATTACATTGTAGGATGAAAGCCATAGATTGTTTTTGCATGTGTGCTGGCTATCAAACCCGGGGCCTTCCCCATACAAAATATAAAGGACACACATGAACAGTTGGATGAAGGGGTGCATGAGGAGAGGTGGAAAGGGGTCACAAGTGCACAAGCTTCAGTTCTCATGGAATTGGGGGATGTTGTCTTCCTACCACACAAACATATCCATCCACCTATATGGAAGTTCTCCAAAATTCATCCTTTAGGGACCTATATGACAGCTCCACTGTATAGGCATAATCACGTAAAGTCAACAACCCTTTGGTGTACCCCTTCCTGGAGACCAGAGCACAGGGCTGAAGGTCCCAAGCTTCTGACCAGAGTTTGCTCTTTCTGATGACCAGCAACATCTAGACCAGTCCTCGGGCCTGTTAACGCTGCCTCAACTGGCACAAGTAAGTTATAGTTGAAAGGCACTCACAGTCATGAGACTTGCTCCTGTCAGTACATCCCAACATTTTAGGAGCTCTGTGCCAAAAACACAGGACAGCCTGTAATAATCCCAGTGACTCAGAAGGCAGAGAGACTCATAAGTGTAAGGCCTGACTGGACTACAGAGTGGGTTTAAAGGCAGTCTGACAATTTTGTAAGCCCTTGTCTCAATAACAAAGTAAAAAGAGCGGGGCTGGGGATGGCTCAGTGGTTCAGAGCACATGCTGCTTTTACAGAGGACCGAGGTTTGGTTCCAGCGACCACATGGCAGTTCACCTGTAACAGTCTCAGAGGGTCTGACGCCCTCTGCTGGCCTCCACTGGTACTGCACTCACATGGTGCACATACACCCATACACATAACAAAAATCCTTTCTTTTTTAAGTAAAAAGAGGACTGGGAAAAAGAGCCGAGTGGTAGAGCACTTACCTAGCATGCATGTCCATGAGGCCATGGGTTTTGTCCTCGGTTACAGTACCACCAAAAATTAAGGACCCGAGACAAAGGCTATGTATACATTCCTTATGCCACAGCATCATAGGAAGAGAAGTTCAAGAACAGACACCTGCTTATTGTCTCACCTGTGCTGTTTCATGCTCCTTGACTCTAGCACTTAGCAAGTTGTGGCACACTCAACAAAGTCAATGTTGTTTCATGTAGAGAATTCAGACAGGGTCATGAGCTAACCCGAAACGCTGCCAGCTCTAAATACACACTTCTCTTTTCAGCTTGCCAATTTGAAGCCTGGGTGTTTGAAGGCATTGGTTCAAATCCATGGGTCTGTTTTCTTCCGTGTCACATAAATGTATCAGATTAAATGAATACCTCCTGGACCAGCAGCTTTAATACAGCTCTGGGGAGGGATAGTGGAATGTACTCATGGACAATTAATTCCCCAGTAACTGTGTCACTTGTCTTTCTGCTCTACTGAGAATCACTGGTGCAAACTAACCGGCCACACCTCCCAACTACCTTGTCACGAAACACTCAGGCCACAGCAGGGCTTGTTACTTACCCGCTATGTTTTGTGTTGAACAGCAGGCACCGATGCACTCTTCCTGAGTTATTGTATGGATGGGCTCATTGCCTCTGATTCCTTTCGAAAGGGAAGACTGGATGTCAATGATAACATCCTCTAGACTCTCAGTGAGGCACTTCTGACCAGCAGCCAGCCTTGGTGTCAGGAAGCAAATTACCACCAAAGTATAAGCCCAGCTCTGCTCCTCCCGGAAGAGCATTCTGAACCCTTGCTAACCCTGGTCTCTTCAGAGGTCAAGGGTGTGTCTTCTGGCCTCAGTTGACTTCAGGAAGATTGTACCGGCTACTTTACCTCTAGAATAACAACAAAATAGAAACACATCAGTGACCCTTAGGAGGCTGAGGCAGGAGGACCACCATGAGTTCAAAGCCACAGGGGCTATGTAGTGGTGTGGTGACATTTTGTTCATGACCTAATAAATAAAGCTTGCCTGAAGATCAGAGTGCAAAGCTAGCCACACTACTTAGCCATAGAGGCCAGGCAGTGGTGGTATACAGAACTTAATCCCAGAACTTGGGAGGCAGAAGAAGATGGATCTCTGTACGTTCAAGGCTACCCTGTGCTACAAGAGATTGATCCAGTCTAAAAGAGAAACAGCTCACATACAGGTGATCCCAGCACTTGGGATCACATGACTTTAATCCCAGTACTAAGGAGGTGGAGACAGGAGTGATAAGGCTGGCTGGAGAGAGGGATATTAAGGTGGGAGGAGACAAGAGAGAGATGCAATCTGAGGAGCAGTGACGTCTGAAGAACAGTGCAGTCTAAGCAGTCTGAGGACAGGACCGCCCCTTCGCTCTGAACATTGGTAGAGATGGTATTGAGCTTGGTTAGTGTGCAAGGTCCTGGGTTCAATCCCAAGCATCAGAAAACTAAACAAAGCAAAGATCTAGCCAGGAGATGGTGGTGCACACCTTTAATCCCAGAACCAGGGAGGCTGAGGTCAGCCTGGTGTACAGAGTGAGTTCCAGCACAGCCAAGGCTATACTGAGAGAAATCTCTAATGAAAGAAATCAAAGACCATCTAAGTAAATGGAGAGAAAGTCCATGTTTGTGGTTGGAAGCTTACTATTAAGACATCAATTTTTCCCGATATCATCTATAAAATTCAACCCTAGCAAGTCACTCTGGTAACACCAAAACAATTTTAACAATGACATGGAAAGGCAGAGACCCATGAGTGTCAGTCAGCACAACAGTGAAAAATGTCCTCAGACCAACAATTCCTCTTCCAATGCTTACTAGAAAGTTATAGTTATTTTTTTTAAAGTATATTAGCAGAAGAACAGACAATAGATTAACAGAAAGGGATATAGCCCACGAGGAGACACACACAAACACAGACAACTAATCTTCAGCAAAGGTGCAAAGGCAATTCAAATACAGTATTGGGGGCTAGAGAGACGGTTTGGTGCTAAAGAGCCTTTGCTGTTCTTGTAGGGCCTGGAGCTTGGTTCCCAGCACCCCCTTAGGGGGCTCACGGCCACCTGTAAATCCAGCTCCAAGGGCTCCAACAACCTTTTCTGGCCTTTGCATACATGTGTGCATATTTACACACAGACACATAAATAAAAATAAACTAGATTAAAAAATACTGTTGGGACAGAGGGACAGCCTCATGTAAAATAAAAGGAGAAACAAACCTTCTACCTTTCACAACAATAACTCAAATGGATCCCAGCCACAAATGTATAATGCAAATCTCTGCGATCCCAGGCAATAACAGAGGAGAAAAATCTTAATGTCCTTTGATTGATTAAATGGTGTGTTCTTAGATACAACAGCAAAAGTACAATCCCTGAAAAAAAATCTCTTTTTTATTACGCTTATTTTATTTTATGCATATGAGTATTTAGCCTGCATGTGTTTATGTGGACCATTGAGACATCAGAAGAAAGCATAGGCTCACCCTGACACTGGAGTTATAGATGCTTGTGAGCCATCATGTGGGTGCTGAGACTGAACCCAGGTCCTTTGCAAGAACAAGTGCTCTTAAGCACAGAGCCATGTCTCCAGTCCCTGATGTCATATTCAATACAAATTAAAAACTGCTGCTCTACAAAAACCACTGTTCTTCCCTTGTGTGTGGTGTGTGTGTGTGTGTGTGTGTGTGTGTGTGTGTGTGGCATGTGTGTGGTGTGTGTGTATTCATATGTGTGTGTGGGGTGTGTGTGTGTGCATGTGTGTGTCTGTGGTGTGTGTGTGTGGGGGGGTGTATGTGTGTGTGTATATGTGTGTGTGGGGTGTGTGTGTGGTGTGTGTGTGTGTGTGTGTGTGTGTGTGTGTGTGGTGTGTGTG